ATATATTTAGCACTTGAAGATCTTCAAAAATCATGTGATTGTAAAATTTTTTGATTGGAAATTTTTTTCTCAAAATTGGCGGTGTGGCACAGAAAGTTGTGGGACTAAGTGACTTGCACTATAACATAAAATTATATTCAAAAGTGTGAATATTCAAATGTCATTTTGATTTCTGATATTCGAATAGAAACACTATTTATATAGTAAGTTGTCATTAATTTTCTAAATATTTGACATAACAAGAGATAATTACAAATTTTATGACATAAAAAAGGTTTGATTTTTATACTGTAATAACGTTAATAATAAAAATAAACAAACGTGCATGCAATGATGTTGTATGATTATATACATTTTGTTCACATTTATGTTATTATTATTATTATTATTATAATATTACATATGGGACATTTAGCCTGAGCCAGGGTTGGCAAATTGACTGGTCCATTGAGAACAGATGGATTTTAGACTGGTTCATTGCCATTAATAAAATACTAAATATGGTTAAAGTATTACACTAATGGACCCAATGGACCATCAATAGACCATCAATGGACCGCACATTTGCCAACCCTGGCCTGAGCTAATTGGCCTTAAGGCTAATGACAACAAGGAAATTTAGCCATTAGGCTAAATCCAAATCAAAAATATTTAGCATTAAGGCCAATGACAACACTGATTAAAGGTTATTCAAGTCTCCTCTAAATGTATAAATAAAGGTGAAGTTTTCTTTATAAAATGAATAACTCTCAACAACTATCTTCTTCAAAAACGTGTGTTGAACAAAAACACGAATTATATTTATTAAACCTCAACCAAAGAATATTTATTGAATTAGCACAAGCCAAGTTAGTGATATTGGTTGTGGACCAACAAAAAGGCATTCTGGGTTAAAGATGACTCCTCAATTAATTGCGGCAAATTGCAATTCACATCTTTAATTTTGGGTTCAAGAATTCCAAAATGAGTTGTTAGTGCCATTATATTCTTTGAAATAAGGATTGTAAACATTCAATTAATATTAATAAAAAGTGTATGGATCAGTTCACAAAAATTTATTGAATTTTGGTCCAGAAATTATTTAATTGATGAATTTGTGAATAGATGGATTCTCTGGCAAGAACTGGCTGATTGAACCCCAAAAATTTGTAAAAAAAAAATGCAGGGACGATGAATCTCTAAAGCAAAATCTGTGGCGTTTGAAAAGGGAGGCATTCACTTTACCGACATATTATTTTACCAACAATCACTTTACCGAAAGTTCATTTTACTGACAATCACTTTACCAACAATCATTTTACCGACAGTTCACTTTACCAACAGTTCATTTCCACATCATGTCAGTGAGTTCATCAACGATATTAAAGGGTTTATTAATTATGCAGATGTGTGTGAATGGTTCTGTTTTGTATTGTTGTTGCTAATTAGTTTGATTGTATATAAGAAGCTTAAATTCGACATACTTGTAAAATAACTTTGTAAGAAGTTTTATAATCAAAATTAACTTAGAAATAAGTTAATAAATTAGTTTCAACTAAATAAAACGTTTTTCTTAAATCACTAAACCAAAATTATTCGCCAATAAAACTAATTCGTTAGTAATAGCCAATTTATTCTGATCCACATAATTATAAACTTATAGTGTTATCAATTAACACGCTCTCCCAATAGTAATGGAGTATCCTATATACAGAAAGAAAATTTGTGTTTATATAGTTGTTAACGCAACCATAATAATATCTGAATTAGATTTGCAAGTTATGAATTATTTTAAACATTCTCCACCCAAAATACATGTAAACTTGAACTGTTGGTGAAATAAACTGTCAGTGAAATGAACCGTTGGTAAAATGAACTGTTGGTAAAATGAACTGTCAGTAAAGTAATTGTTGGTAAAATGAACCATTGGTAAAATGAATTGTTGGTAAAATGAACTTTTGGTAAAGTGATTGTTGGTAAAATAATATGTTGGTAAAGTGATTGTCAGTAAAGTAATACATACCCATTAAAAAAGGTGGTGGTGGTGATTATTGATCTATTACTTGCTACTCTAGTTGAAGTTAAAAAGTGACCTTGATTGAAAATAAGAAAGTAATTTAAAGAGGATTGAGGAAATTTTCCTCTTGATGATAATCCAAAGATAACAAAATAAACAGTTGTTAAAACTACTATCTCTGACTTAAAAGATGAAGATTTTATCAAAGCTGCTGATGAATATAAAAACAATATTTCAAAGAATAAAGGAAATTATGATTATTAGTGATCACTAATGATGATAAATCTGACTATGAATAGTAGGTATAACTTTTTAGGTTTTATAATTGCCATGATTTATGTCATTAAAAGAATTAAAAAATCAATATTGTAACAATTAGATTATTTTCCTTCTGATAATTTTTGCTTTTTGTTGGGTAATAGTACACTTTCATTCTGTTTTCTTTTTCCAATACTTATTATTTTTCTCTCTTCTTGGTAAATTTCATAGATAATCCATTCTTTTCTTAGATAAGCTTCCAGTGTCCAAGTATCATTTATTTTGAAAACATAAGGTGAAATCTTTTCTCCTTGTTCTTTCTTCAAAACACTTCTAATTGTGCTATAATTCTTTGGTTCCATTGTAGATCTGATATAAATGAGTTTCATATTAATTATTTTTATATAGGGATAGTTCTATATATCACTAAATGGGATATTATAAAACTATTAATTATGATCACATTACTAATGACCAAATTTTGATCCCTGAAATTCTTGGTCATACCAATGTTCACTTTGTCTGGTTTTGTTGCAGTATGCCCCATATACTATTATTTATTGTCTTCTCAAAATAAATTCCTAGTAATAAACCTCTCCAAATTTGGCATACTGAAACTGGCAAAGACTACCAAGAAAGTCATGTTACATGTATAATTGATGAGGATATAAATTCCATGGTCATTGAAATTACCTCGCCAAATGTTGCCACCACATATATAACTTGTCCTGCTCAACTTAATTGAACTCTTGGTATAAAACTACCAATCCTTGTTTTTATAGTTAAAAATATGAAAAAATATTTTACTTTTGAAATTCAAATATTGGATGATAAGAACATTAAAAGAAGATTTAGAGCATCAAATTATCAGGTAATAATTATCTTTTTCTCATATATATATATATTTATTTATTTATTTATTAGAAATAACTTTTTTTTTTCTTGGTAATTTTAGTCAGTTACTTGTGTAAAACCTTATATTTGTACAATGCCAATGTGTTTAGATGAAGGATGGAATCAGGTTCAATTCTATCTTGCTGATTTTACACATTATGCTTATAGCACTAATTATGTTGAAACATCAAGAGTACAAATACATGCTAATTGTAGATTAAGAAGAGTATATTTTACTGAATTTATGCTGAAGAAGAATTACCTCCTGAAATGAAATTATGGCTACCAGTTGATTCTCCTTATGTAAATTTCATCAAGTATAATTATTATTTCAAGGTCTTTATAAAATCATTGTAATTAAACATAATAAAAAATTTAATCCATTAATTTACATGTCATCTTGAAACTTGAAATAAATCTATTTTGTTTGAAAAAAAAAAACATTACCCATTTTGTTAATATGGGGGCTTTCAAATAGAAAAGACCACCCATGATCCAAAAAACCGATTTTTGAAAATAAAGATCTGCATTTCAAGGAATTTACATCTCAATATATACAAAGTGGGTATGATTTCTCATCCAAAAATATTTTAAGCAAATAGTTGTATATATACTGGTGGCATTAACACAAAATTGATTTTTTCATGCTATGGTATTTTTCTATTGAAAGGCTCCCATAATTTCAACACACTTTTAACATTAAATATTAATATTAAAATATTCAATTTGTCTATAGTTGGCTTGGTTTAAAGACCTCCTAAATTTTGGGCAAATTTTAAAAGTATAGAAGTCATTTTCTGTCTTACCTTTTAAAAAATAGCTCTATTAGTTGATAGAATGTGTCTTTAGTTTTAATGTAATAGAAAGATTTTCTCAAAAAATTTATTTTTTATAGGGTTCTATTCTTTTTTAAAACATGCTCATGAGAAATTTGAGCACTAGGGTCATTGCTAAATTTAGGCATGTTTTTGATCATCATTACTAAATTTAGACTAATACTCGACCATCATATCTAAATTTGGCGGTAAGGAAAATAATTTTTTAACCAAAATCACCTGAAGCCATTTTTTAAAATCACGAAATCGCAATTTTTGAAATTTGAGCGCATGGCGCAGCAATAAGAGGTCATTAGACCGAGCCAACCATATATAGATAATAATAATCTCAAGTGACACGAACTTGATTTTTTTTTTGTAAATTATGAGGAAATGTAAGTAGGTTTATTTATTTATGATTTATATTATTAATTACATGATGAACCATTAGAGCACCCAGCTCATTTTGAATGTAAATTTTAACATGATATAAAATTTATACTGATAATTTGTTAGATTATATACATATACATTTTTGTTGCAAAATTCAAATACTAACACAATTTATTGTATTAATTCAAGAAATTATAGTAATTATTTATCTTATACATTATCAACATGGTGAAGAATACAAAGAATTGTTTAAAGAAACAATGGCAATAACTTCAGGGAATAAGAAATATTTGATAAGTATAACTTCCTTATCCTTTTAACATGTGAAATATACATATAGCTTAATCAGTCTATTTTTTCTAATGAAATATATATTTATTATTTCAAAGAAATAAAAGCAAACAAATAAAAAAACTAGTTTTTTTCATATAGTAAATTGGTGGCTATTAAATTTCGAGAGATTTCTCTTGGGATGAAATCATGAATTATTTATTGATTTTTAAAAATTAATTTGAATTATTGAAAGATTCATTTTTAATTGTTAATAATAATAATAATAATAATAAAATAACATTTAAACATTAGAAATAAATCAATAAATAAATTAAAAATAATTTGCTGATCTAAAGTAAAATAAGATAAATTTAATATGGAGGCAATCCATATTTGCTTGGATCAAATAATTCCAGGGAATCAAGTTTTTCTGTTTCTCCATAGTTTTCAGGATACAACTCAACTAAATGAGGATCAGGAACCCAAACAACCTTAATAATAATAATGATAATATTAATAGCCATTTATATATAATATATGAATGTATAAATAACAACTTACATGCATCCCTGCATTTAAAGCAGCTTTAACACCATTGATAGCATCTTCAAATACTAAACAATTTTCTACAGGTGGATTGCCTAATCGTTTACATGCCAATAAGAATAAATCAGGTGATGGTTTACCATGCTTTATTAATGGATCATCACCACAAGTTATGCTATCAAACAATGAAAACAATTCTTGATTATTTTTAGCTTTTATTTCAAAATTGTACTTATGAGAACTTGTTGCTACCACGATTGGTATATTATTGCTTTTTAAATGTTTTACAAGCTTCTATTAGAAAAATTAAGAATAATGAAATAAATTAACAAATTATTTATTTATTATTATTATAAAATATTCATTAATATTTATTACCATGACTCCTGGTAATGGTTTTGCAGATGGAAATTTTTCAATCTTTTTTTTGAAAATAATATAAATTAAAAAAAAGTTTTATAAATTTATTTCAGATTATTCATAAAGACCTGTTTTTGGTTTCGTTCTTTCAAGAAATCTTCTATACTCATATCAATCCCAGTTTCTTTGATTATTAATGAAACTGCCTTTATATAAAAATATAAAGAAAATTTTCATGACTAATGAATAATAATTGATTTTTTTCTCTTATTAAATAATTATATTCAAATTGAATTACATCATATTCTTTAAGACCCATTATTTGTGATTTAAGTTTCCAAGTATAAGGTTGATTGTAACGAGAAAGCATTTCAGCTTTAATAAAATAAAATAATTCATTGAACTTGATAAAAAATAAATAAACTGAATTTGATAAAATCAAAATTTAATCCTACTTGCAACTTCACTATAGATACGTTCTGTATCCTATATCATTCATTCATTACAAAAAGAAAAAAAACTAATTAGTATTGTTTATTTTAAAATAAAAAGTAGCACTTGTGTATAATTGTACATATTTGCGAGAGAGAATTACAAATCACTTACTAACAACAATCCTTTCAGATAAAAATTATATTAAAAATAAAAAACTAATTTATACAATTTATATATCTATATTTTATAAACATATATATATTATAATACCAACCATCCATGTCAAATATACAATGTGTAATTTTAACCATTTTATTTTTATTAAAAATTTTTAAAAATTTAAAATTTTTTTACATCTCGATCCATGTACTACATTGTTTATTATAAGGTGTCAATGAATGAAATTAATGGCAAAGCCGTAAATCGAATGCCACAATAATAATAATGTTACATCTTTATCCTAAAACGTATTCGAGAAATATGCTAATATTACTTATTAGTAAGTATATAAAGGAACGAAGAAACGATAAGTTAATTACACCAGTGCCCGCCCATGAACCATACAAGAAAAAATATGCTGACTACAATTAGTGCCCGTGAGCCATACAAAGAAGAATTTATAACAGATTTATGCAAATTATCTGCATATTCCCCTGTTTTTATCAATAATCTGTGTGTTAAGTTACAAAAGTACACGACGGTTCAATCCTAAAATGTCAAACAACCCATTGAACCAATTGTTGTAAAAATTGTCTTTAGATTTCCAACATGGAATTTCCACCAAACTCCAACTCATCAACAAATTGTTTTCATCTTACGGCTCTCTCTATAACGACCCTTCCTATATAAAGACACCAAGTAAAATTGCGTTATAACGAACTTCTCGTTACATTTTTTGTTAAAAATTTTGTGATGTCATATGATCCAATACAAAAAACTAACAACTTTCTTTAATCTCATGCTTCCCAAAAAATTGTGTTTTAACCAGAAAATTGCGATTTAATATTAAATGCTAAATGTTAAGTTTAATATTTATTGATAAATATTTAATGTTAGGTATTTCTATAAAATTTGTAAAACGGACAGTAATATTAAAATCCTTTTTTGTAACATTCATTTTTTCATTTTAATTAAAAGAATTAGTTACTTGAAGTGGATAATTTGTTACGCATTAATTTAAGTTTCTTTTTAATGTAGAAATGAATGTCGGTTCTAAGAAGACCTTAGAATCATTGAATGATGAAAAAAAATCATAATATTTTTCATTATCAATCAGTTTATTGCTATTACTAAAGCAGCGTCTATAGGCGATGATGGTTTTCGGGGAGATAGTTTGCTTGATACCTTGTTATCATTACTTTTACCATTATTTGCTTATCTTTCTTTCTCCAAGGATTTAAAGGCCACATGCTTCGCATTAGTTGCGAGGTTTGTTGCAAGGTTTTTCATACGTTCATACACAACATTCATAGTAATTTACTCTTTTTTGGCTCTTGAAAGCATTATCGAGCCTAATGCTGAATGGACGATAACATTTATATGCTACAGCGTTGTAAATTTCATAGCAGGGATAATAGAGTTAATAAGTATGGAAACCTATTTTAAACCAAAGAAAATTGAAATTAAGCCTGAAACAGTAGCAGAAGATTTGGAGAAAGGAAATAAAGGAACTGGAATTAATCATGAAAAAGATTTAGAAAAAATCAAGGAAAAAAGATCAAAAGAGAATGATAGTAATATTAATAGTGATAGGTATGAATTTAAAAAACCTTGATTTTCTATTTACATTTATAAATAAAATTAACATTTTTTTATTTTAGTAACAAGTGGATCAAGTGGATAGACTTTTTATTTGTTTTTCAGCTCTCGTATATGTATTTCTCAAATCATGTTTAGTTTTAGCTTTTCTAGGTAGAAATCATGATAGAGTCACAACTGAGATGTTATCATGGATCATAATTATTTCAATAGTATCATTAATCGGTTCATTAGGTGCAGTTAAGTATGGTCTTGAAATGAAAGGAAAAAATAATTTGAAAGGAATTTTGCAAAAATTTAAATGTAAGAAGAATAAGGACAATCAAGATAAACGAGATAATTACATCTGGGTTTTGTACAGTATTTTTGTCTCTCTATTGGTTTCTTCACATATTTTGCTTTATTTAGAAATCGTCTTCTGGTTTGATTTGAATAGTTATTTAAGTAAATTATTGTGGAATGCATTAGCATTAGATTTTACGATAACAAGTTTGATTTTTTTGCAACAACACCACCAGAAGTAGTGGCAGTAAATCAACATTAAAAATTGACATTAATAACAATTTGAAAAGTGTTCAGCTTTCTTTTCGAAAAAAATTATTTTTGTTCACATGAACTTTTTTCATTTATAATCACAAACTAAAACAGTACCATTATTTTTTAATTCATGTTACATTGCATTAAATTGTGAGTTTGATACCTTTACGCAATTAACGAGACATTTATCTCGACGCCTTGTGTGTCAATTCTTTAAAATCACAAGTAGTACTGTACATTTTTTACAAAAATAGGAATGCTCTTCTTTTCATTCCCCAAAATCATAAAGGAGTATACATGGGATGGTAATTATCTAATTACCGTAAATATGTAATTCGTAATTAACGTAATTAATTACCTTCACTCTTTAAAAACGTAATTACGTAATTAATTACGGTAATTACGGGCGACGAATTAATTACTATTATGAAAATTTTCTATGCAAATCGTTGTTAACATTATACATGGGATGGTGATTGCATAATTACCGTAAGTACGTAATACGTAATTATCGTGATTAATTATATTTTCCTCTTTAAAAACATAATTACGAAATTAATTACCGTATTACGAAACTAATTATGGGTGACGAAACTGATTACGAATAACAACGAATTAATTATTGGAAATATCATAATACAAGTCGCTCCCGTTATAACAACACTCTCCGTACAAGCAAAAAAATGTCAGTATGACGAGAATGTCATTATAACGGGAGTTCATATTAATGATACCTGACGAAATGTTACATGACGAAATGCAATTTACCTCAAAGAGCATAGGTGTCTATCTACTTGGAAATGGATTAGTAGTAATTTGAAACAGTATATTTTTACTATTTTTATAGAAAAAATTACATTTTTAATTTTCTTAGAACCCCAGTTTCCTACATAAAAAGTTTTAAAGGCCTTTTATATATTTACTTTGTTCGGATTTGCTATATATCATGGGAATACCAAACCTCCTCCTTTTTTTTATTATTTTTTCTTTTTTGATTTACATGTTTTTGGCATTAAGCATGATATACCTTCCTTTTTTTACAAATTAAACTGTGATTTTTTTATTGAATGATATGAAATTTTTTTTGTCAAGAAAAAAAAAGAAATATGGTAACAATTGTGGAACCTGACCCATTGCAGAACTCTAGCTGGATGTCGACGAACGATTTGTAAAAACAATATTACAATCATCATAAATTCTATTGGATATAAAATCAAGGTCGAGACACACTGTAATAATAAATAATACAATAATATTAATCAAGTAACTTGTAACAGTCTTTTCTTTGATAAAAACTCCACGTTCAGTTCTTTAATAAACTTACCATCAGGAAGAAGATGATCATTTTTCCTCTGAGCATAAAAATCATTATAACAAACATTCTTATATTTGTTTATGAAAAGTTCAGAAGGTCTTTGAATATCTTGGTCATTAAATGAGTTGGGTGATTTTCCATTAGAAGCATATCCACAATCTACTTTGTGTACCTCTTTTTCCCAACGACTTGATAAATATGCACTTAATGAAGATGCCACCGCTTGGAATATTAAGCCTGTGCCCATACCTTTGAACAGAGAAGCACCAGTAGAAGCACCAACTTTTACAACATGTTTACCTGATTCAGTAGCACCTATTTTTAAAACATTGTCTACTATAACTTTGCCTCCTTGCTTTGTTATTTCTTCAGCTGCCTCTTGAGTAACAATCTTAAAAGTATCTTTAGATATCTGTTGTATTGCTGCCTTACTACCTTCTGCTGTTAGAACGGATGAACTTTGCCACCACCACACCTTTGAGACTAATTGTTTTGTCCCCTCCTTCATAGTTACTTGGGCTGATTGTTGTAAAACTAGTTCCTTAGCCGTTGCTTTGGCAACAATACCTCCTGCGGCTGTTGCAATTCCTGTTCCTGCTATTACTCCAGTTATCGTTTCTCTAGGTTTAGAAACTTCTAAATCTTTTAAATCTTCTAAATTTTCTAAATTTTCTAAATCTTTTAAATTTTCTGAATTTTTTTCCTTGCAGCCTCTAAACTCAGGAAATATCACTTCATTAATGTATACCCCACAATATTTTACATTTTTTCCACCTTTTCCTGGTTCCCCTCCTGTACCATTTTCACCCTTCTTACTCCCTGCTTTGGAAATAGTAGGAGTTTCAGATAATAGAAATGGACTATCTATGATTACAAAGCCAGGTTTCCCTTCAAAGCCACCTTTCCCTCCTTTTCCACCATTTCCTCCTTCATGTCCTTTATCACAACTTTCATATATTTCTGTAAATATATTATTAAAGGTCAAAAGAAATTTCATTCCACTTAATATGATGTTTCCTGTTACTTTTTTCCTTGAAACAAGAGCAGGTTCATCTCTACTTTCTACAATTTCTTTTCCAATATCTGAACCATCCAGTCCATTGCCACCATTACCACCATCTTGACCTTGTCCACCATCTCCACCACTAACATCAATAGTTAAGGAAGAAAGATTGAAAAATTTTTTTCCTTTGGCATAAAAATGCCCTCCATTTTTACCAGGCAACCCAGGCAACCCAGGTAATCCATTAATTTGTTCTCTATTTCCATCTCTTTCATCAATTCCATCAACTGCTTTACTTGGTTGGTGCTGAGTGCCAGATTTACCTTTTAAACTAATTTTTCTTTTGCCTACAACATGCCATTTGGGAGACATTAATGTCAAATCAATTCCTGGTGCATCTATATCTTCATCAATAAACAAACTGTTCAAGCTGTAAACGTTTATTTCAGATAGTTCTTTATCTTTCATAGCAGCATTAATATCCTCAGCACCAATAATTAGGCCTTTGAGAGTTAACACTTGTCTTTGTTGATCTTTTTCAGGTGGAGATGTCAGCATACCTATGTCCTGAATAGATTTATATATAATAGAATGATGCCAGCTGTTAGTATTGCCTTTAATTTCGGGTTTAATAAGCTTAATGAATTTTAATTGTAAAATTTTTTTATCAAATTCCTCTTCAAGTTCTTTTATTTGGAAAAGTTTAGTGATTGAGGAAATTTGATCAAGATTATTTTCAAACTGTTGTGGTTCACTAGTTATTTCATTCAATTGATCATGGAAATATTTTAAAGGTTGAGATTCTTTTAACTCTTTAACTGTGCCTAAATGATTGTCTATTAAATTATTAAGGTAGCCTAGAATTCCTGGATAAAATTTATCTTTTATAAAATTTTCTATGTCATCATTAAGCTTATTTACTAAATCTCCAATATAATTTTTTGATCCAGATTGAAAAGAAATGCTAGGTTCTGATTTTTCCAAATAAGAAATATTCTTTATACCTTCCAGGATTTGAGATCTGTCCTCATAAGAAATAAGACCTTCTTTTTTTGGTGTATTGAAAAAAACAATTTGACTTTCAGAGGAAGACAAAAAATCAAGTATTTTTCCTTGAGTTTCACTGAAATTTTTTTGACCATTCTGTTCCTTACAAATTTCATGTAAAACATATCTCATTTTTTCCAAGTTAAGAGTCTCATTTTTTGTTACTACCAGACATAACCCTTGAACTAACTTGTCTTTATCTGTGTTTTTAAAAATTTCTCCTATATTACGAATAAGATCCAAGAAACTCTTATTCCTTGACATCTTAATTGTAGCCTCAGAAACAGTGATCAAAACCTTTACTTTTTTTGCACTTTTGATTAACTTGTAAATTGAATAGGCATTTACAATATCCTGGACCTCACCACGTGTATCCCCAAAACCAGGACAATCCCAATACTCTTTCCAACCTGATGGCAAAGAAGTTTTTGAAACACTTCCATCGGTAATCTCACTACCTTTTAAAGGATTTTCAGTGTAAATAACAAACTCATCAAACCCTTTTCTCTTTTTACCAAACAGGGGAACTTCAGCTAAATAATTTAAGAGAGAACTTTTCCCTTCTCCTGTATCACCAATAATTATAACGACCTCTTCTTGTTGTAAAGGAATCTTTTCATTTATTTCATTAATATGTTGATGGATTTCTTCAATTTTACTTGTTGACATTTTGTAGAAATTATAACAATAATTTTAATTATCAAACTTGTATTAACAAAAACAGCTATATTTAAAAAAGACATTTTTTCGAAACTTTATTTTTCAGAAATAAAATAACTTATCGTATGATTACAAAAACGGCAAAAATGGTAAAAATGGTATATGAACTAAGCTGTACTAAGTTTTTAGGTTAGAGGATTAAATTAAAAATCAAAAATTAATTCGATGAAACTATTTATGTGGCACAGTCTAACTATATAAGTACGAAACTACCTTTGTTAGAAAAGAATGAAACTCAACATTAAATTTAACACAAATAAAGAATGAGAAAATTCGGAGGTTTCCCTTATTTAGCCAATTTTGTGTTGCATGGGAAATATATTTTATAAAAAGTGCTTTTCTTGCTATTTGCTCTTGCTTTGTCTTGCTATACGATTGCAATTCTCCCCACTCCGCCAATTTTTTCTATTCGGGAAGAGGTTCATTATTTAGTCAAGAAAAAAAAGGAAGATGCCCTATGATCATCTAATCAGGATGATTTGCAATTTAAATCCTTTTTTGTTACTGTTAGAGAAATCAATAAAGTCTTTCTTTCACTATCAATGAAATCGAATAAGGCTCTTGTGACAATGAAAAAATGATACTAACAATTCGTATGAATAATTAATTTATTTGTTAAAAAGAAACAATTGTGACTCTTTAAAGAGAATACTTTGTCACGGGTATATTCTTTTGTTAAAGAAACCGACCAAGTCTTTTTAGGAATAACTCGTAAAATTTGAGCGGAAAATAATTGTCCCTAGTACTAGCCTATTTTGTTTAAGAATTAATCATATACCAAAAAAGTTATAAATAAACTTAATTGGATGCATAAATGCTTTTCTTAAAATGTAAAAGATAAATCATTCACTTTTTTAGCCTTTCGTTTAACAAGACTTGTGCAACTATTAAGTGACCATGCTTATTAGGGATATATCTTTTTTCGCCTTGATGAATAAAACAATAAAACTTGTAATTTTTTAATTAGTGACACATATTTTTGTTTTTAAACATCATTTTTTAAAACAATCCATCACACAAATAAATCGTTTTCAAAAGTATGGCTTCTATCCTGTCATTAGTTGCATTGGTCAAGACCGGTTTGCACGGGTACTGCGTATAGCAGGGTGGACAACGAAGAATTCGTAAAGTTAAACTTTAAGGCATTTCAGCAGGGCTCCGAAGATGAAATTACGGTCATGTTGATGGTTGGAAGTTTCCTTAATGTTAAGTCTGAATTATTTATAAAGAAGATTCTGTTTTGCTACTAAAAAAACATAATAATTTGGGATCAATTTCCTTATTGTTAGTATTAAACAACCATGTCTTTTTTGAAAATGCGAAGAGAATACCTTGTCACAAAAAAACACAACAATTTGGAATTGTTAAAGGAAATCAACCAATATTTTTTCGAAAATGTAAAGGATATTCTGTATAATGATTTGAAAATGATTTCCCCACAAACAACGATTCGGAATTAATTCACTATTGTTGAGGAGTCAACCAAGCTATTTTTAGAAGATTATTTCCTCTTACTAAAAATGCATAATAAATTTTTTTTCTAATAATAAAAAAATTAGCCTTGTTTGGGAAGTTGTTTACCTTTTCTTCATTTTAAGCGAACAAGTCTCAATTTTTTGATGTAAATAAAATTGATTGATAATTTTTTTTCAAAAAATTTTTCTTTTTAACAAAAATTTCCTTTCAACAAATAATAATAAGAATGAGATTTGTTTTTACAACCGTTCCTTTATCAAAACAGTCTCTGGCACCTCTGCTTTGACTGGGATCGCTACATATAGATATTGATGACAACAAATTCGTTGACTTCGCTACAAAGCGTTCACTTCTGCCTATAACTAACATATGATCCACAAGATCGAACCAAATACAATTATATTGGTTGTTAGTAAATTCGTTATGGAAATTCTCAACTTGACATGAGTATCAACTTCCCCTCCTGGGATTCGGTAAATATACTGTCCTTCGATTTTTGTCTGTTTAAAGGTGGACAAAAGTGACCTCGCTGAATATGAATTTATTTTAATATCATCCAATTAAATTACAAAGATTAGGAAATGATCTACAGAAAATTAGCCAATCCTACAAATTTCTGCCTATGAATTGTTAATTGATTGACAAACGCGTACACGTTAATTATTTATGTTGACACGAATTGAAAAATGATTTATTTTTCAAAGGTGGCAAAACATGAGTCTTCTATTAATGACAGAGATACTTTTTTTTTATTTGCCTTGATATGATAATAATATGGTGTCCTTTTAGTTTATAAATATTTTAAATGGAATCAAAATGTGGAGTAGAACTTGCTGGGTAAATTATAAGATTCTTGATGATGATAAATGAATGATTGGTATTTTGCTTTGTGTGATCAGTATCAATATTAATATAAATATATATATAATTACAAGATGTCAAGGCAGCATGACTGACTGTAGCAGAAGAAACATTTCAATATGCAATGTTTGATTATCGGGAAATTACTAGATTAGCAGATATTGAAGCATGCATGCAACCATGAACACTTTACAGTCATTCTTACAAATTCTTTGTGTACAAAGGCTAATCTAACTATGTCGTGGCTCCAGTGATACAATGATGTTGTTAATTTTAGGGGGGGGAGTAGCCCTGGGATGTATTTGAAACGGTAGAAACTGAATCAATATACTAAACTGCATCAATTGTCTGACACTTTCACTAATCTTTCTCGCTGTACCCAGACCAGAGGAGGCTGTTATCATGCTGGCTGAAAGTTGCCTGCAACGATTCTAACTCTAAGGTAAGGATGGCTATGTGACCAAGTTGTATTTTGAAGAGTTGTGACATTAGGCATGCATATACATCCAGATCCATCAAAGCAACAAGAATCTGCAACTTATTTCAAGCACAGGAGGTCACAATTTAGAACAGAATTGATGGTCTTGAAATTGGAATTAGGCTCTGATGTTAAGAGAAAGGCTGTTTAATACTAACCAATTTATAATTTTAGGTAGGGCTGTATGGGGTTTTGTCCAATTAGTTACTTGTTATGTAGATTAAAATAGACAGCAGACACAAACTTTATTTTAGTGAGAGAACTATAACACAAAGCAAGCATCATGCAAACACTAGATATCAGGTGACCAATGCCTATGGTAACAGCCAAGCCTGGTCTGAGAGGAAGATAAGGAAAGTTTTGCTCAAAGCCTACCAACATTGGGCACCCTCACCTGTGAAGGAAAAATCCCATGGTTATGGGGTGTGCTAATAGCACCCGACCCACATGTTTGTGACAGGAAAATTTAATTAAATCTGACATCTGCAAATAACATCAGATTTATTATTTATAAAGAACTACAATTGATCATTAGGTAAAATAATTTATTTTGTGAACCTAAAGATCTGGGTAGAAACACATTATTTTTATGCATGGCCTTGGTATTATCATTACTCGGGTGATGCAATTGTTTGTTATGTCAATTATAACATCAAATGTATTGGATAATAATCATGAATATTTGATGTATGGAGGCATTCACATGCAAGAAATGATTAAACAGCTAAGTCATGTTTGTTTTATTAAAGATATATGATTAATTATATACAATAAAAAGCTGTTATGTTTGTACACGATTTAAAATTCTTTTTGTGCTAATTTAGGGTCCCATCTTTCTTTGCTTATATATAATCTATTGATTCACTTTTTACTGGTTGAAATGATGCCAAATTGGTAATGGGATATCAGTAAATATCAGAATCTAATAATTCTTTAAAAAAATAATCAAGGTATTGGGATACTGATAAGTCAATAATATTCCTAGTATTTTTATCATATAATCTAAAAGCCTATTGAAAGCACCAATATTTATCAGGTATTCTTTTAAAATTAATCCTTTTTTTAGTTAATTATTGGCTTAATTTAATAACCAATAGATAGCTCTTTTATATTGTAATTAAGTTATTGGTTAAATATTTCTAAAGCTCTTTGTACTAAAATAATATCATAATCTTGAGTAATAGTTAGGGAAATTAAAGCTAATTGTATTACGAATAGAAACCATGAATTAATATTAAACAACTATGAAATAATTAATTTCGTTCCTTTGTTGTTAATGATTGGGTCGATCTAGTCAATTTAAACAGTATTGTTTTTAAAGAATTTATATTATTAAATGTATAGCTTTAATGATTTTAATGTTGCAAATTTTTTTTTGATACATCACTCAGTTCAAAGTCAATCATATTTATAATATACTTTAAAGTTTCTTTATTGATGAATAGTAAATTTATCCTTTTGTTTATTTGTTTTAGTAGATTCAAATAGATTTTATTAGATCAAATAATACGTTTCGGAGAATCAATTACGCACAAGCACACGTAATAAGTATACATAGCTTGTAGCCTAGGTACTGTAAAATACGCATGCAAAATTTCTTGTTTTCTGATTTTCTATGTCATTATTATATTGATTATTCGAAAAAGAAAAAGAAAGATTTAGGAAATCAAACCTTTGCATGATTCATGGTTCCAGCCAAAAAAATCCGTTATTATGACAAGAAATCCGCAGTGGCAAAATTGGTGATGATCGGTAAAATTTTTTTTAATAATACAGTCTAAGCTCTATATACCGAATCCTCTGTCCATTTTTCTGCTTTTGTTCGTTATAAATTGAATCGGAGACGAGTGACAAAAGGGAAATTCGTTATAGAGAAATTTACTTAGTGTTCGTTATAGAGAGGTTGGTATAAATGAATAAATGAATAATACATGCGGAAATGAAAATGATTTGTTGAAATATTTGGTTGTATTAGTTTTTCATTATGATCTAATAATTTCACTTTTTTCAATGGTTTAAATTCTTTATAACCAATTTCTAAATCACCTTGTTGAAGAAAATTAAAGCTGTCTCAAAGGAAATTACGGCATCTTTCGTTGAAACTTTAAGCATAGTGTTACTCTCAACAACTATTATATTATTTACATCATTTTTTCTCTATTTGAAATCTCTTCAAATATATTTCTTGGATTTTCAATTTCATTATTGGATATTTCATTTTCCAAAGGGAGAATTGCAGTTTCCCCCAACTATTATTATCAATTTCGGTAATTTGGACATTTATATGGTCACATGAATCTACTATAGCCATATAGAAAGACCCCATCAAAAAACCGTGGAACAAATTTATTAATAGAATCCGTTATTATTATGACAAAGGTTTTAATTAATATTAATAAGGGGACAAATACTTAAATCCGTTATAACAAGAAATCCGCTGTTGGAAAGGTCCGCTGTGACGAGGTTTGACTGTAATATATAAGAAAAATTAATAAATGGTAAAAAAACATCTTAACCGGTTAACCGCAGTTAAACAGTTAACGGTGCAACCCTTACAAAAATAATAACCACTCTTAATTCTATCCAATTAAATTCAATTAAAACTTTGAATATATTTGTAAAACTAAAGCTATTTTTTTTTTACATATATATATAAGAACGATTGATGTTTTTAATGCAAGGTGTTCCTTATTTGTGTTTCTTTGGCCAAGTTTTTTATAACAAACTGAACGCAGATTTTCCATACAAACTTAACTTAACACTAATTATTAAAAAAATTGTTTTACGCAATATTATTTTTTATTGTATAATTACTTATATCCATCTATACTGGTAATTTCGCCATCCTGACAATTTTGAAGTTTTTACAAATCATTTAAACCTCAATAGTTATTTCAATAACGTTATATCTTTCCTCCTTTGTAGTGTATTTTCTCTTTAAGGCATCATTAATACTTGACATAATGTTTCTTCTTTTGTGGTTATTATTAATTACTATTTTATGTTTCTATGTTTTTCCGAACGTCCCTCTTTCTCATTTATTATGATGCAGAATCATGAAAATCGAAAGAAAACCCCTAATGTGTTGTGATTCTCTCTGAAACCTTCCCCTTGGAGAATTTCAATGTATTTTTTGGGAGCGAAAATAAAATGTAACAGTAAGAGTAAATTGAATGTCGGTTTGTTTACAATTTTTTTTTTTTTTTGCTAATTCTTGATACGGACAACTCACAATGGATTCGAAAACATTATGCAATTGAAACAAACCATTCAATTAGATTTATATAGAAAGAATAATTGGGTGGAAAATATAATCGTGCACATAATTTCTCCTATCATTTTGTATTATATGAGACCTTAACAAGTTTTCATCATTTTATCAATAATTCAGTATAAAATTACTAAGAAAATTTTATCAGACATTCAAAGTTTATTCATACTAAAGATTTTTTTTAAACTAAAATTTCAATAAAGAAATCCATGTATATAGAAGGGTACGGAACTTGTAATTAAATCAAGCACAAAGCAACAAAAGTCTAAATGAAACATGCACTAAATATCAAGTACTAAATCTTGCACTCTCTATAAATCTAAATTGAACTCGTTAGCTAACCGTTAGGAATTCCAGTTAGAGCACCATTGAAGAGTTCAGCAGCAAGAATATGTAATTGGTAATTTTGAATATCGGAGCCGTTGCAAGCAGGCGCTCCTCTTCCAACACCAGTGATGTTATCATTTGGAACACCTATACTCTGAAGAAATATCGTAATTGAATTATTGAGTTGTGCAGTCCCAAAAGATATTACTGTGATTGGCACTGTTGGAGTAGGGCTTGTGCGTAGGTAAAGCATTGAACCATTGGCTTTATGTTATCCTGACGATGAGAAGAAAGAGAAAATAATTCAATAGCTAGGTCATAATTGTAGTCCATTGAGAAAAGTAAAATAGCGCTAGACCATCTAAGCTACGGGTTGATTCGCTTCGACTTCAATAACCGTGTTTGGATAAGCTGACCCTGATGAATTACACGTTTGAGAACGTGGAAGTTTAGGAAAATTTTTTGGTCGGATAGTTTCATCAGCAGTAAACATACTATTCGGACCGTGATGAGATCCTCTTCAAATGCGCTAACCAATTGATTGTTCCAGGCAAGTGAATAACGTAGTTTGTTGCCACTGAAGAGGTACCTCATGAGCTATGATTTTACGATTGACCGGGTGGATTTTGACAGGAAGTCTTTGCTTGGCTCCTCAAAACTTTTGAGAGACGTGTTACCAGCAAAAATAATTTCTTTTCTTGTCTAAGGAAGTGTTCCCTAGCTAAATTAAGAAGGTCTTCGTCTAGTACAAATTTGGCTTTACGTGATGACATTGAGGGTCGGTGCAATAAGGAAGTTGAGACATTTAGGGTATACATTTATCTTTTTATCTTAGACAGTGCCCGTTTTTAAAGAATTTCTGAAAAAAAAAGATTCAGCGGTCCTTAATTACCTTTCTTCCCAATGGGATGATGATGTTATTGATCTAAAAGTTTATGTGAACAATGCTAAATGTTATGACCTTTCTATGTCACAAACAATTACATCTCTACCTTATTAAGCAAAAAGTGCATTATACAGGAAATTTTGGATTTCATAATGACAATGATGACAGTGATATTTTGATAGTAATAATTATCTCTTAGACGGTCAGAGTATTCTTTAATGGTAACACAAATTAAAGTTTTGATAATTCTTATTGGTCAATTTAACGATCAGCAAAGTAAAAACAGTCAATCGACCAACTTTTAAAGAAGATTTTACAAAAACCACAAGGACAACAACTGGATTTTTATTTATAGGTTAATCGGCTGAATCTCAAAGATCATTTTCGTATTAGAAAGTGATGCCCTCAGAAAAAATTTTTTATGTCAGAAAAATTTTATAGGCTATCAATAGCCGATTAACCGTTTAGGGATAAAATAATGGGTATAATGGGTATCGAAACAACAATAGTGACGATGACGATATTTTTTGATAGTTGTAAAAAGAGATTAGATGAAATAATTAGAAAAAGAAGACAACGACAATGATGATGGTGGTATTTTGATAGTTGTCACAAAAAATTTTGACTGTATATTTAATACATAATAAAATCGACAGAATATAATATTACAACCAAGCGACCTTTTACTCTCGGGTCCAATTAACTTTTAAGTTATAAAGGAAAATAATAGAAAATTATATGCTAAACTCGAGAAATGCCAAATTTGGAGCGGTTTTGGTTTTCTGTTTTCCAGCGCGATTAATTTACGGAACAAATCAAGCTATATATATGAAAGTTTTAATGTTAATTATCAAGAGCAGGAGTATTTTTCAGCCCATAGAAAATGGAATACAAACCATTTATATTGGAATAATGTTATATTTTAAAAAGACTTTCTCGCACAAATTCATATCTAGTTACCTAGATTATTTAATGGGTGATAATTCTTTGTTGGTCAAATATTAGGTTTTATTTGTTATTTATTTAAAATATTAGCAAACAATGGTTGTCAAAAGATCACTCACTGCGTGACGAAGCATTGTGACGGAAAATATGATTGGGCAAAATAGGAAAGGATGTGCTTAATAGGCTAATACAAAATTCATATGATTGATCAGCAATTCTCACACAGAATTTATAAAAGAAAAAATGATGACAAGGATAATAATTATGGCAATGGAGGACTAAATGACATCCAGTAAGGTGATTATGTTACTATAGGTTTTAGCACATTTAATTACTCTGTCCTGTCCATCTCGATCTCGTTCTCTATGGATGATAAATTATTTAGAAATCGTACGCGGATGTGATTGATTAGTTAAAAAAAAACTATCTGATGTAGATAATGGCTTTTAATTGCATTCATTATTAATTATTTTGCATAGGAAAAGATGTTACATTTTTAAAATAAATAATTATCGAAACATCTTACTATGTACTTGACTGTAAATCGACACTCACGTGATTTATTATCAATTCCTGATGAATCTCACTTGTATATATATATGCATGTATATATGTATATGAAACATTTATATTACATAAATATTAATTCTAAACACAAAACAATGAATTTGTTTCAAAAAAACAAATTTAATTGATTCAGATCAAAAAGAAGATTTTTTATTGGACAGTGGACATTTCAAAATAAAACAAGAAGAAGGGATTTTATTTTATTGTTTCCTTTTGAAATAATTTTATTTATTATTGGATGATTAAACTTTATTTTCTATCAAATTATAAATAAATAAATAAGTGCACAACATTCGTCAATTTAATTAATATTCATTCATTTCGTCATTGTATATTAATATAAATAGAGTAAAAGAATTAATTAAAACTTTTTTAGTCTTACGAAAAAAATTTCCTTTTTATTTTTTCAATGTGCTTTAAAATTAAAGAGTTGAAATAAATATATAATTATTTACTCTTTATTTTCAGCACGCCAAATATTCATTCCTTTATTTTTTCTTTTTTTTTAATTAAAAAAAAAAAGTTTAAAACCTTTTATTTGGTTTTTAAATTTTTTTTTTTTTTTATCCTTTAGTTTGGCCTGCTGTGCTAGCCTACAATTTCAGGGGATCAAATAATTCTTTACAAGTTTCATAATTTTTTTTTTTCCCTTCCTATAATATTTACGTAAATTTTATTGTTTAGCCTTTATTACTATTATCAGTAATTTCAACGTTTCCCCTCACGTACAATAAAATAAATAAATATATATAATACTCCAACTATTTTAACACATTCCTTTGAAAAAAAAATTTTTAATTCTGTTATTTATCAAAAATGAAAACAATGAAAATAACGAAATTGCAACTTGGAAAATATGCCAATCAACAATCCTTTTGTTTATATTTATTCCCCTCTTCACCTTCATCGGTAGTATCCTCACCAAAACAACAAAAGTATGGTCAAAACACCTCCTCAAGAGCATTATCAACTACAACTACACCTACAACCATTTACCAACCTTTTTATAAATTAAGAGATATTGATATTATCTTTTTTGAGTCTTCGGTTGGTCATATATCAAATTCAGGAAAAATACCACAAATTTATTTCGACACACCTGGTTATTGTTTCTATGAACGTTCATCGGGGGAAATGTTTTTGGCAGCTTGTGCTCTCAGTGAAACTGCATCCAGATTAGGAAATCATTTATTAGTTGAATTTTGTAAATTAGGCAAACCTGAAATATTATCAGGAATGGCTGATCGACTGCTAGATAATGTTCCAATCTCTCGCGTCCTTCCCATCGAAGACGAATCTGAGCTTCTAACAATTACCGATCCAAATTCTATCAATCAAAATCATGCCAGTGTTAATCAAAAGGCACCGATCAGAGCAAATACCCCCACCACTAATATTGGCGCTAATTTAAATTATAGTTCTATCAAAAGAAATTTAAGTCCTCCAATTTCTGGAAGAAAAAGAATGTCTGTTGAAGCAGTTCTAGATAACAATGACGATAAAAATATTACCAGAAGATATAATAATAGTATTAGTAATAACAATAATAAAAACTCCACATTATCTTCGCCGGTCGAACATGCATTTCAACCTACTGAATCATCCGAAAGGTTCGTTATAATTAACAAAATAATAACAATAAAATCTTATTATCAATTATTAATTATTAATAAAATCCTATTATCAATTTTTAATTAATTAATTATCAATTTAATTATTTTAGAGGAGTCTCTACCATGAACCAGCAAGTACCTTCTCCAACTTATTTTGGAACTGAAAATTCCAATCCCTCTTCTCCAAACTATTCTCCTCATTTACTTCATTCGCCATCATCTCCTTCTCCCATAACTAATGAAATGATAGATGATGATGTAAGAATGAGAAAAAGAAGACGTGTAGCAGTAACAGCAATAGGTTCTAATAATATTAAAGTGACTAATAATCCTGAGGTAATGGAGCAAGTTAGGAATACTCTTAAATTAAAACAACAACAAAAGGCTATTATTGAAGCAAGGCAACAGCAACAACAAATATTGCAAAATAACAATGTTAACACCAACAACAGCAATAATAATAATAGCGTAATGAATAATTTAGATAAAAATAATAATTTATCGCTTTCAAAATTAAACAACAATAATAATTGTTCAAGATCGACATCTCAAAGTCCATCTTTAGATAGTAATAAGTCAAAAAGAAGCTCACGTAGTAAAAGTAATCGTAATTCAAGAAATCTTAGTGTAATTGCCCCTCCTTACGTTGAACCATCCAATTTTGCATCGTCAGCTCCACCCCATATAGGTTCTATTCGTGGCCTAAATTCTGCCGGTATTACAAAAAAAACACCTTTAACTGCACCGATAATCTCATTCAACAAGTCATCATCGATTACAAATACGACAACGACAAGAAACAATGTTTCTGGATATTCATTAGTGTCTACTCCCAGATCCACTCCTACAGATGCTAATAACAATAACTACAACAACATTAATAGTAACATTGATAATTCTAATCAAATCGCAACACATTCTGCTTCTACAAGTGCAAACATTAATGGCCTTATTTCTCCTCAAAATATTGATGACATTTCTCCTTCATCAAGTAGATCAGATACTCCAAGGACAGCAACTTCTAGTTCCTTTTCCTCTTCTAGCACGAGTCTTGTTTCTACAATTTATCTTAATAATCAAAATCTAGATCAAGATAAACAACAACAACAACAATCCAAAGAATCATTTATAAATCTTTTTGATACTTTTTATGACACAATAGCTGATTCTCATTCCTTGAAGTCGACGCTTGAAGAACAAATTAATAAGACAACTGCTTTACTTCAAACTCTTCAAGCATCTGGTTCTATGATTGAAGGTTTAGTTCGTGGTCATTTTCATGAATTACAAAGAGAAGTTATTAAGGATTTGATGGCATTGGAAAAAAGAATAACTAGAGTAGAAGAATGCATGAAGCAAAATTCGGTTGTTTCCGGAATGAATCCAAGTCCACCACTTGATCCTGAACGAAGGCTTAGCGATATTAGTAGTACAATGAATGATATGAATTATAATAACCAAAATCATAATGATAATAATAACGATAATGATAATAGTAATAATGGCAATGGTGGCACCAATAACAAGATTAATATTTATAACAATAACAACAACGACATCAATGATAATAATAAAAGTCCACCATTATCTTCTATTTCTTCAAATACTTGTGTTGATGAAAGTACAACACAAGCTAAAGATTATGAAGATTTATTAAGTACTTTAAAAGCTAGACTAGAATCTTTAGAAAGAAGAATGTCCGTTTCATAATATTTCTTCTTTTATATTTTATTAATTAATTGATTAATTAATTTATTTTAATTCATCATTCTCTTTTTTTACACTTAATTTTTTTATTTTTTTCTGAAGATTTTTAAATATCTTCAATATACATATAATATATATATATACCCCTTCAACTAATTTGTTTTTACCATTCATTTTTTTGATTTTTTTTTGTAATTAAATCTCTTTTTATATTTAACATTTAATTATTTAATTAATTATTCATAAAATGATAGAAATCTATTCAAAAGATTTTAACTGGCTTAATATTTTATTTAGTTTCTATTTGTTTTTTTTACACACATTTTTCACAAACATACACATTTGCACATTTATTTTATTTTATAAATACACTTCAATTTTGAATAATTGTAATTTATATATTATATATTTTGATTGTAATAAATATAAATTCATTGGTTCTTGTTATTATTTTACACAAGCTCAAAATGGTTTTCCCACACACAGATCGCACAATTTATGTCAACCAACCCATATGATTGGTAAAAAATTCTTTCATAAGACTTTATTCCAAAAAGGAACTAGTTTTGTCTTTTTTAGAAAGATCTACTAAAGTAATTCAGAGTTGGCCATGGTACCGGTCCATTGAGATCGGGGTGTGAGATGCCCTAATTAAATAACATAATGTCGATCAATAACAACAAAAATTCTATATCAGTCGCAGGGCATTGCAGATCTACAGGGGGTCAAGTATCACTCATATATGTTAGTAATGTGATTATTATTATATATATACCATATAAAATGTGTACATGATATTAAACAGTCAAACCTTGCCATAATGGACCACACCACAGTGGATTTCTTGTTACAATGGATTTTTTTGGCTGGAACCATGAATCTGCTATGGTGAAGTTTGTATAAAAAATATATACTAATACACTAATACATGTTATTCAGTGCATATTACATGTGAATTACCCACATTTGTGCAGGGCATGCATACATTATATGTTTCCATTTTCCTGATAAAATGCACAATTTTGTACAAAATTATAGATTGGATCAAAATGGATTGAATAATTGAAAAGAAACTTGCCATTTTCTTTGATCAATTTCATTTTTTCATATTTTATTATAAAACCAATAATATAAATATAAAAATAAAATCACATCACTATAATAACAATGTTATTTGTTTTAATTAAAAAAACTTTTGAAGTCAAATGATGTGATTTTTAAATCAACAATAAATTGAAGACTTTAAAGTTCATTAAAGAAAGTTAAAAAGAGCAAACTATGTTATTATTGTTAATCTTATATTATTGTTGAAACTGTTTTGTTTTGTCATCATCAGTTATTAATCAATCATTTATATTTATTCTCTTGTTTGAAATCAGAGTATCATTTTTTGATATAGATCTTTTTTTTGAGATATTAGTGTTTTGATTTTCTTGATCAGCTCCTTTTATCATTGGATCACCAAATTTCACAGGCTTTCGTTTGTTAATTATTGATATTATATTTGAAACTCTCATCTAAAAGGGCAATCTGTAAGTTTCAAAGATTGAAAAATCATTAGCTATAATAAATGTAATAAAAATATTCACCTTCATTGTCCATACAGCAGCAATCAACTCCAGTGCTTCTGTAAAATTTTGGAAGGAAACAGGAATACTGTATAATGAACTTTTTACAAGATGGAAAACATATCCAGCAGGATTATCTAAAGTCATAAACATAAGTTGAAGACCCCCATGGATGTAGCCAACAGTTACGAGTCTCCTTCTTTCTTTCATATCAGAAACATGACTGTTTAATAGCAAAAGCATGTCTTTGAGAACCTTCGGCAATTTTAAATCAGCTTCAGAGAGCCATTTTGTAGATTTCTTTCCTTCATAGTTCTTTGCTACTTCAGAACCACCACATTCTAAAACAATAGAAGATTTGCCATAGCATGTCCTTATGATAGAATCAACTCGACTCCCTAATTCCTTTCTTGAAGAAAGATCACGATCACGATTTTTTTGAATTGAATTTGCAACACTGCATGATTCACCCCTAGTAATTTAATTGAAATGGTTAAAATAAGACTGGAAAAGACAAATAAAAATATTGTATCACAATTTACCTCACTACATTTATATAATCAATGTCATTATAACATTTGTCTACAATTGGTCCCCATATGTTAACATTATACCAATTTTCCAAATTTTCCATACAGAAAGGATTTGGATTCCTTTCATATTGTTGGATTCTGGATGTTTACAACATCAGGAAATTTTTTCTGACGTGGATTTACATAACTATTACACTATTTATGTAAGTTTACGGCGGGCCCGTAATATTATGCAGATAAGCATACAAAAATTATGCAAATATTACATCAAGTGTAAATATTACATAATTTTTTATGCAAATATTACAACTTTACATATTAAAATTTATGGACGTAATATTGCGGCGGGGAAAATTTCCTGATGAAGGATATTTAATTTAGTAAATGAATTCTATTTGAAATATTCTATAATTTTTGAAGTGATTACTTACAAACTATGTATTGAATATTTGATTGTATCATATTTGAAATCCTTCTTGATATTATATGAAGCTCCAAGACGATCTGTTGCCTTTTTCATTTCTTCTCTGACTTCTGCTATTGTAGTCTTAAGAAAGAATTAATTATATAGTTAGTTCAAATCATCATTTTTTATATCAGTGATATACTTTATCAAATCTTCCGATATAATTTTTTAGCTCTTCAGGTAGTTGTGGACTGTAATGGTAATTGCATAATTTAATTTCATCTAATTCATCCTTTGTAAAAATTTCATCTAATTTAGAATCTTCTATGTCCAAAATAAATGAATGAATCAGACTGTTTTAAAAGAACAAATATTTAGAGATTATATTTAGAGATTATTTAGTATAATCCAATAATATTGGCAAAGAAACATACTGTTCTTTTTTAAATTCCAGTCTGGATTTAAAACAAACATTTTCTACTGTCCTTCCCGATCTTAATCTCCATTTATTTTCTTCTTTCATTGATTCAAAAATTTTTTCAAAATCTTTAAACCCACCTGAATTGTTGTTTTCTTTTTCTTCTTGACTAAGAAATTAATATAATGTAAATTAATTAACACTTCATAAAAGGAATATTTCTTATCCAACTAGAGTAGTAACCACCAACCTTTATATATAAACTAGAGTGACGAGTGGTGACCGTAACCACCATTTAATGATAAATGACATTTACCTTCTTGCCGAACCTGTTTCATTTGTTTGTTTTCTCTTATGGTTCTCTTTCTTTGGCATCTTAAAAAACAATTTATTTTTTACAAGATGGACGAGAAAGCACGAGTGATGTTGTTTGGCATGATTGGTTCTAAAAAGAAAGGCGTGTTGTTTATTGATGGCAAGAGGTATACAGTGTAGGATACCTAATCCCGCAACTTACTGCGCCACGACGACGAATTTTGGGAAAAAATTTCCAATCAAAAATGCAATAAAAATTG